CTGGAGAGGAGTTTCCATGCATCTCTGGGTAGTCACTCTGCAAGACTGGCTCATAGTTGGCCATTATCTGTCAGGGCGGCAGGAAGCCCTTGCTGCTGGGGACAGGAAGCAGCTCAGCAACTAACAGATAATTACTGTGTCCAGGAACTAAGGAAGCACTAAGCGATGTCAGCCACACAGGTGATGTCCAGAGAGGCTCATTCACAACCCCTGCCCCCAGCATTCTAGGTCACAAGGCATGTTAGGACAGAGGACAGAACCAAGACAAGGATCTAAATTTTGGACTCCTTGGCTGCATATTTCCATTCCTGGGTCTGTTGAGTGTCCCCTTTCCCCCGAAGCTTAATGTCAGCCATAGCAGATCTGGTAGGGAATCCAGGTGGCCAGAACAGCCAGACCCTGAGTACCATGGCCAGAACCCAGAGGAACCACAGGTGCCCACTACCAGCCCCAGTCTCTCCTTCCTAGCAATGGCCTGAATGGAGCAGCGGTCAGCGCCTCATGCCCCATGGCCTCTTGGCTGACTTTTAGGATGAAACCAACAAACAAGGCAGCATTGGGCAAATTAACTGTCTTGGCCCTACCTCCTTCAGGAAGCCCTCCAAGCTCTGCCATTTCTGGGCTCCTATAGCTCCAAGGTACAGACAGGAAGGAGCTAAGCAGCCCCTCGGTGTTCCCTGCAGCCTTAGAGCCTGGTAGAGCTCTCCACTGCTATTCATGAGCCATCCTAGAAGTTCTCAGCCAGCAAGAAGTATCTCTGCCTGAGGGAAATCTTATGACTCAACAGTCTAGGAATGCAGTTTGATTACCCCCACTTTATAGGTAGTAAGACTGAGGCTCAAAGGCGAACATGACAGAGTATTACAAACTAACGAATAACCCTAAAGCTGGGAGGGTTTTTTTTTTGGGGGGGGGGAGTTGTTTGTTTGGCAATATGTTCCCTGCATCCTGCAAAGCAAGGTGCTAGGCAGATGATGGGAAAGTGGAGCTGGTCCCTATAGACAGCAGCCATCAGTGGCATGTCTGTTCTAAGCAGGCCCACGTGTGGTGTCTGTGACATGGGTATACTTCCCATTTAATGAGACAAATAAAGCACAGTGAGGTACTTAACTCCAGTAATTATGTGGGAGAGCAGAAAGCAGACAGCTCAGGCCTAGCCCTGGCCACCGGAACATAGATGCTGACCCAACTCTGGGGCATGGCTCACCCGTACCCTAGCCCCATGGTAAATACAGCATTCAACCTCATGTTGAGGACCCCTTGTCCAAGGATATCCCACAGTGCTGCCTTCCCCAACCCTGGATCGGGGGAGAACACCACAGGAAACTCAGGACTGGGCAGCCTCCCGGGATTGGAATCAGGAGTGTGGCTGGCCTCCCTGTGTGACCACAGACCCCCTCCCCATTCTGGCCCTTTGTCATGCTTCTGTCAAACAAAGCCTTCCATGAAACCAAATCTCCTTTTGTCCCCTCCCCAACAACTGCCACTATGCGTCAAACCGGATGAGACACTCTCCTCCCCGGCAGATGGGAGGTAGGACGCAGGTGGCTTTGGCAACCGAAAGACACCATGAACCCAAAGAAGTGCACCTGGGACTTCGTTTCTGCAAGACAAGAAGCGAGGGTGACCCAGAGTCCAGGAAGCACCCGCTGCAGCCTCCGGAAGGAAGCGCATACTTGGGGACCCGTGCCACCCACCAGGCAGTGTAGCAGAAGCCATGGGGGTGTAGGTTTTCCCCAAGGCCCCGAACACCGGTTTCTCTGTCCCAGCTTATTAAAGGAAGCTGAAGTTCGGGGCGTGATGCTAAGCTGAGAGGCAGAGGCTCTGCCCTGGTCCACCTGAAGGCCAAGGCGCTGTTTCTGACTCCTTGCTCTGTAACATCCCTCACTCTGCCCCGCCCCCCTTTTTTCCACAAAAGGAAAATGACAAATTGATTGGCAAAGCAGTTAATTAGCACTCCATTCAGTTGCAGGTCAACTCAGCTGCTTTCTGGTTGTGCTGCTTTGGCAAGTTCCTTTGCCTCTCTGTATCGGTCTCCTCCTATGTAAATGAAGATAACATGACCTATCCTGGAGGGCAGTTGCGAAGGAAACGTGACTTCCATCATACAAAGCAATTAGAACCACTCTTGGTCCAGAACCAACAATCCAAGGGTGGGAGAGCAGAGGCTCACTGAACTCAAGCTATATATGAACCTATACAGGAGGAAAGACCCACTAGAAACAGCCTTCCCAACCTGGGCCAGTTCCCTCAAGTCTCAGATGTGAGGTGTACAGACAGCTTGGAGCAAGCCCTTCTCCTCGCCAGGCCTTGGAAAACTCTACTTGTAAATAGGGGGCAGACAGCTGCCTGTTTAGCCAGGATTCTGTGAATGAGGCTGCTGGTCCCCACAACCGCTCGGAAGAGCCTCAGCTCATCCCAGCCAGAGGCATGAAGTCAGAATGTGCACGCACGCACATGCACGCCCCCCCACCTTCTTTAGTGCCCAGCAAGTACTCAGGAAGCAAGCATTTAGCAGGCACTCAATCAGAGCAGGCAGCAGGTGCCTTGGGTCTTGCTTAGCAGGCTGATGGACCAGCTGTTTTACATTGCTTGGGGCCTGACAAGAGAATCTCAACCCCACCCAAACCTCCTCCGTGACAGCCTGCACAGTTAAAGCCAGGTGCCGTGAATCACTGTGCATCTAAACCTGAAAGGCAGGGCTGGGGAGATGGCTCAGCGAGTAAAGAGCTTGCAACGCAAGCGTGTGGATCTGAGTTCAAATCCACAAAGCCCACATAAAAGCCAGGCTGTGGCAACTCAGTGGCACAACCCAGCACTCCTGCCGTGAGATGTGAGGGAGACACAGGAGAATCCCTGGGCAGATAGTTTGGTGTTCCAGTGTTGAGCAACAGAGAACTCTATCTCAAACATTCTGGGAGGTGAAAATGGACACCCCGATCTGTCCTCTGACCTCCACACGCATCCTGCACGCACATACACGTATAAGAAACAAAGCAAACTTGGAACGTATCATTTGCTCATCTTGAAGTTGTCTAAGCCCCAAGTTCTAACCAGTGGTAGGCATGAGAAACCAAAGAACCCAGCAAAGGCCCCTGGCTCAGGTGCAGTGTTATCTCACCTAACACTTTTGCAGAGACCACCCACAAAAGACAGAGATGTAGGATTTCTGGCTTTTATGTGTTTTTTTTTTTTTTTTTCATCCAAAAACAAGATCTTGCAATATAGTTCAGGCCTAGGACTCAAAAATCCTCCTATCTCAGCCGTCCAACTGATAGGAGTTACAGGCGTGCACCATGGCGCCTGACTTAGGGAATGGGATTCTGAAGGCAGCCCTCAGTGTGGGCTCATCTCCCAGCTTGGCTAGATCCTAGCTAAGCTCTCTGCACCTGTTTCCTCACCTGTACATGGGGATGGATGGAAAGTCATTGTCAGGACGGACTGGCTGTGGGCAGTTACGGGGTATAGGCTGGGCCTTTGGTAAGCTTCAGCTGGTGAAACACAGCCACACAGGCTGGCCAGACTCTGATCAGCCCTGGCTCCATCCCACTTCTGTCAGCTCCAGCAGCACTCCTTCCTCATCACAACAGGAGACCTGTCTGTCACACCGCAGACAGAGCAGCCAGCACGCTACCTTTTCTGCTCACGCGGTCACCTTCTAACACCCAGATAGCAGTCAGTGCCAGCAGACCCAGCAATGAAGTTCTCTTCCCCAGGTGTGGAGTCTAAGACCCCGAGGGAGGAAATGACATTGCCACCATGGACCAAATGACAGTACCAGGGATCACAATACAGTGGCTCTCCTCAAAGAGCCGTTACAAAACTGTAGGTGCTACAGAAGTGTGGCCTGCCGCGCATCTCTAGTCACACCCCATCAGGAAGTTGCATCTACCACCTCGGGCTCCCATCAGGAGAAGTGGTTCCCCACCAAGGGTGGAGAGAATTCAGATCATCAAAAGAAGAAAAGGCGGGGTGGGAGAGCCTTCAATGGCAAGGAACACTAACTGACTAACAGTGGTCGGGAGCCTCAGACAAGATGCGCAGGAGGAATGGGCTGGGCCGGAAGCTAGAAGGGCAGAATGAGTTCTCCATGTTAAGAGCACGGGTGGCAGGATACAGGCACACCTGCCCTCCCTCCAGGCCCCTCCACCTATAAATACATTGTACAAGTTATGCACTGGATTCTTACCCAACGCCTTTGCCGTGTCTGGCACCCCCACTCTTGGAGGGGTAAATCTGAGGCAGATTGATTCCTCCCCCTGAGTCCTCAGTCCCACACACTGTTGACTAATTCAATTTGCCTGGCTGACGTCTGGGTCTAGTCCCTTGCCGGGCAGAATCTGTAAGGGCTGCAATTCTGGCCTTGGGAACCTGGACCCTCCCTGACTCTCTGACTCTCCCAAGAAGCCACAGTTTGTGGGCAGACAGACAAGGGGTTCTCCACTGGGGCCATGGCTTGACCTCAAATGAACTCATTGTGGCCAAAGGCCCAGGATGCACTGGGTTCCTCCCAGGTGAGCTTTCCTGGCTTGGATAGCAGATTTCCCCGCGGAAGCAACCACAAACCCATGTTACCTGGTGCCCACAAAACAATCATAACAATGAAGGATAAAGCCACTCACAGAACACTTAACAGCTAGAGACCCTGGGCCCCATTCTACTGAGGTTCAAACATCAGGTCCCCACCCACTCTCACACAGTAGCGCAACCCCACCTCACTGGATGCCCATTTGACAGACCAGGCTGAGTCCCAGAGGGGATTGGGAACAGGCAGCAGTAGAACCCCAAGGCCGGCAAGAAGCACCTCCAGGTTCTGACTCTCCCAGCCACATTGTCTGTTGCTCGACATCCCGGAAGCGAGCCAAGGCCTGGACCCAGGGGGAGACGCTTGCGGGAGTCCCCCCAATCCTTCCAGGGTGAAGACGCCCAGGGCTGGGCCTCGCTAAGCCCCGGGGCAGTCTGGGGCTAGAAGCCGGGCGACCGAGCCCCTCAGTGCTCACTTTGGGCAGGTTGAAAAGAGGCGTCTGGGCCATGGTGCCGAGAGTGCGCCTTCGGCTGGGCTCCCTCCGCCGAAGCTCTCCGGGTCCGCGCTGGCTCGGCGTCGGGGTCGCTTCCCGAGGGCTCTCAGAGACAGCGGCCCGCCACGCTCTTTTTCACCGGGCCGCCCCGGCCCAGCCCCGCCCGCGCACCGCCCACACCGGAGACCCCGCCTTCCGGGTCCTGGGCCCCGCCTGCAGCCTCTCCTGAAGCCCTGGAGCGCATTTTCCGGAATTCCGGACCCCAGAACTTCCAGGCGGTTACACCCTGGGAACCTCCTAGGTGAGCCCCCCCAGTAGGCGCGACCCCAGTGTCCTCACCGAGCTCTGGCCCCTTCGCGGCCCCTTCTGTACCGAGGCTTCCACGGTTGCCTAGGCGCCTACTGTGTACCGTCAGGAGCTGGAGGCACAGAGCCCCAAGGCCTCGTGGGGCTGGATTCTGCGGGGGTAGTCGCACTTGTTGCTGAATCACGAGACGGAAGTTTGTAACTAGGGAGATTTAGCGGAGTCTTCGACGGCTGGAGTTGACCAGGTGAGGGCGAGTGGGATGCAGATGACATTGGTTCTCTGTGTGAGAGACTCCCGGGAGCTAAGAGTGATGGCTGGCTGGAGAAAACAGGGCTGGGCAGGAACGCACAGTTCATCTCTCCTGAGGCCGTTATGTCGGAGAATTGTGCCCACGTATCGAGACCTGTTCAGAATGCTCACATCGGCGCCGTGAGCAAATACTCTGGAACTGTGTCCTCGAGAGTATTATTATACGGCGGTAAAGTGAGCATCAGCTCCAAAACACAGCAGGTGTACTCAGACACAGGCATGAACGGGGACAGAAAGGATACGTCGCAGAAAACTTCATATACTATGGTCAACTTCTAGAATATAAAAACACCCCCCCACCCCCCAAAAAAATACATGCTTAGCTCTGTGCTTCCATGAGGTGAAGGGTAACGCTAGGGAAGACACCCTTACATCTCAGCACTGACATCCCTGGGGTGGGACACTGATAAGTCTGTGGGAAGAAAGGGACGCGTAGAAACGCCAGTTTAATGGCAGTGTCCCCGTTCATCTGTAAATAGACAAACCTATAAATAAGGGGAGGGGGAGGTTGGAGAGTGGAAGGCTGAGGCCAGCAGGCAGGGTGGAATTTCCTAATAAGTTACCACACTGAGGTTTGGCCCTTCCCGTGAGCGTGCTGGGGAAGCGAGTGAAAAGTTTGTCAGTGGGTTCGGGACAGCGTCAAACCTTTCTTTGGAAAAACCCCTCCAAACTGTTTAAAGTCTAGAAAATTAGCCAGGCCGACATCATAGGTGAGCTGCTTAGAAATATACTCTTGGGGGTTTTTTTGGGGGGAGTGGGGAGTGCTGTACAGGGAGTGCTGTATTCTAGCAAGATCCTTAAACAACGTGTGTGCACCTTGAGGCGGAGCTGCCTGGGTGCCCTGACATGAAGGGACAGCAAGAGAGGTGCCCTGAAGAAGCGTGGTACACCCGGAAGGATTCGGGTGAGAGACAGTGGGCACCGTGGGAGGATGGTAGATTCAGTTCCATGGCACATGCAGGCAGCAGAATCCGGATTTGGGATTCAGGTGGGAGTGAGGGAGAGGGTGGATCAAAATGGTTCTTCTAAGACAGGGACTGTAATACATACTTGTAATCTTAGTATTCAGGAAGCCGAGGCAGGAGGATGTTGGGCTACTACTGAGAATTTTTTTTTTCTCAAAAAAGAAAAATGCCTAAAGTACTGTAGCTTTGTGGGAGATTTCTTTGTTACTTCAGATACAAGATACCATCACCACATGTGGGCAGTCCCTCCATGTCTCGTGTCCTGGAAGCACTATAAAACCATCATCCCATTCAATCTTGTGAAGCAGGGACTGTTACAGTCTATAGATGAAGTCATTGAGGTCCCAAGAGGGCATAGCCCACTGAGCTCCTGGAAAATTAGTGCATTGTAGAGAGAGCTGGACCTGGGCTTTAACAGCCCAGTTATTCTCCAAAGTGGATCTAGCATGTGAAAGCTCAGGCCTTGTGATGACTTGCTGGTCCACCTGTCAAGAGGTGACAACTCTTTACTGATCCTGTTTTTGCCTTCTTGCCCTGGGATGGCCTGAAGGGCTTGCTGGTAGAACGTGGCAGAGGAGGCTACTGAATTTACTTATCTGGAGGGGTTTGGGGCTTTTTGACTTCCACTCTTGGTCTTTCTCCCTAGGAACGTGATCCACCAAAAGACACTGCCACTGGCGGGAAGTCCGTGCTCAGCTACTCCAGTGGTGTTCAGCTACTCCAATTGGTTCCAGTTGGCTGTTTGGCCAAGCTCCAGCTGTCAGCCACCCCTGAAGCCCCACCATTGTAAAGCCACCCCTTCAGCAGACCAGCTGACTTCAGTCAGTGTTGGGCCGAGCCCAGCCCACACTCCTGACTTACAAAGCAGTGGCAGGTGTTTCTCATCAGCTACTGAGTCTGGTAGCAGGTACTTGCACCTGCCACACCCCTCCAGATCCATAGTGTCTCCATCCTGACCAGACCTGGGGAAGTTTCTAGATTCTGGCCTGTTGAAATTCTGCTCTCTAGGCAGGACCAAACTTCCAGAAAATAGCTGAGTGGTGGGTTGTCAGCCTTTGATAGGCCTCACCACTGGGTACTCAAAGCAACCTCCCAGTGTCCTCAGCACCATGGACTCATTTGCCTGTGACACAGGCAGAGGGGCGGAAGGTGACAGGAGGGAGAAGTCAGGATGCTTATTCCCTCCACTCCCTGAGTCATTGAAGAGAACTGTCTTTCTGGCAAGGCTGTAACTTCTGGCAGGCTTCCCCCCCCCACTCTTACCCCCACCGCTCCCCTCTTGGCCCTGTCTCCAAGGCAATAGCCCCAAGAACTGCACCATGTATGGCTGCTTTCCCTGGGCTCGGCTCTCTGTGCTAAGGTTTTCTTAAAAGCAGATCCCGAGACAAAGTTTGGGGTTTATTTAAAGAGATCTAAGGAAACACCACAAGAAGAATGCAGAAAAAGACAGAGCAGTGAGAGAACCTAGTAGCAGGCACGTGACCAGCCTGGGCTCTGGAATCAGCCTCTGGGAGATTATGGGTTATGCAGTTAACCCAGCTGAGTATCCAGGGAGTGAGGGGCTTAACCACAGACTCTCCTCCATTATCAGGTGTGTTTGTGGGTAGATTTTGCAAAGATCAAACCCTAGACTTCTCGAGTGGCAGGCAAACACTGTATCTCTCCCCGCCTCCCAGTGTCCTGGTCTTGTTTTAAGGCTACTTCCATTATCTTCTTGGTACGCTTAGTTCACATGGTTAAGCTTGCTCCAGTGGCTGCCTAGTATCTGCAGCAGAGAGACACACCCAGGGGCATCCAGGTGTTAGTGGAAAGTAGTCTTCACCATGTACACTGACGTCCAGATTACTCAGGCAGCTCATGGCACAGTTCACACCTTTGCAGACAGTCTGGTAAGCTTTCCTCCATTACTCTGTTTGAGTGTGTCATTTGGTCCCTGCCAGTTGATACAGACTGGCTGTGAGCTTCTCCACACAACACACATCAGGCTGAGAGCTGGAAGAGGGATGGAGAGAAACACCTTCCCCCAAATGCATTCTGCACCCAACAGAGTTTGTTACTGAGGTAGGTTCCCAAGCACACAGGAACTTCTGCTCTCTTAGCCTCCCTGCAAAACTAAGCTCAAGGTCTAACCCGAGCTAGGGTGGAGTGGTTCATGCCTGGATTCCTAGTGCTTGGGAGGTAGAAGCCAGATTGCCACAAAATTAAGAGCTACGTTGAGAGTGAGACACTACTTCAAATATATGTAAATCCAATTCCAGCAAGTAAATTGCATTATGGAAACTGCTTAGGGGTGAGCTCCAGCTAAGACTAGAGTCAGGGTAATAATGCAGTAACTCAATAGCCAAACAGTCAATATTACAAAGTTAACAAAGTTTCACATTTCACTAAAAAACAAACAAACAAAAACAAAACTACAATCTGCCAGGCCAGGCCTTTAATCCAAACACTCGTGAGGCAGAGGCAGGTGATCTTTGAATTCAAGGCTGGTCTAGTCTGGGTGAGTGGATGAGTGGTCCCCTCCGGTCCTGCTGAATCTACAGCACTGGGGACTCAAGGTCACCCTGGGTGTCAGGTTTATGCCAGTCAGAAGAGGAAGTTTGAGGAAGCCAGGTTCAGAAGGAGCACATTTAAGTCATTGTAGCAGGAGTCATTGTAGTAGGGTTTAGCACAGAGTTGTGCAAGGAGATGGGGTAGGCTGGGAAATGTAGTTCAGCAACATCCAAAGTTGGCCAGAGTAGGAAAGTATCTTCCTTGAGGAAGTCCTTTTGCTGTTCCCCTCTCCAGAAGACTTGCTACCATTCTCACGAGGTCAGAAAGTCCTGTGAGGGGCTGGAGAGAAGGCTTGGCAGTCCAGAGCACACCCTGGTCTTGCGGAGGTTCTGAGTCTGGTTTTCAGCACTATGTGAGTTGACTTGTAATTGCCTGTAACTTCACTTTTACTCATGTATGCCCACTGTGTGTGTGTGTATGTTGTGTGAACATATATATAATCTCAATCTAAAAAAAGGTCCTATGAAGAATGAATGTGTTGGTGCATGCCTGTAATTCCAGCACTTGGGAAGTGGAGGTAGAAGAATTGGGTCATCCTGAGCTACATAGTGAGTTCAAGGCCAGCCTGATCTACAGGATGAGTCCAGAACAGCCAGGGACACACAGAGAAACCCTGTTTCAAAAAAAAAAAAAACCAAAAACAAAGAAACAAACAAAAAGCAAAAACAGAAAACAAAGTTCCATGTCATACTGTTAGAAGGAAAATGGATAGAACCAAAAATCACCAGGTCAAATAAATCAAGTTAAAAGTGAAAAGTAGATTACAAGTACAGAATAATTATCATAAGGGGCTGTTGGTTAGACAAGGGTCAGGAGGAGAAATGGAGAAGGTAACTGGTGCATTACCTCAAATGTGCTCAAAGCACACTGTTTATGTCTCTTCCCATTATCTTGTACAATTAATGTCCACTAATCAAAGAAGACAGTCTTATGACTTTGGTAGCCAGTGGGTAGGTTAATCTTCTCTCTAGCAATCCAAGCTGAGGCCCTGGTCTGAGAATGTAAGCTTGTATGTTGTGGCGTGTATATGATGGAGTGTCAGGGGAGACCCCAGTCATTGTGACACCTCCGAGATAGAGGGGACCGTCATCTGAGCAGGGCCTTGGTGCATCCCTGTGCAGATTTAGGTAGGTGGCTGCCGGTGAGGCTGTCCAGGTAGCAGTGTTAGTCCCCTGCACCTCTGTTGGTATAATGTTCTTTTAAAATGTATATGCCTTATCCTTGTTAATTCAAATGCTGATTTCCCCAGCCCCAACTCTCTGGTTTCAATCTGGATATTGCATTGTGATAAGCATCCTGTCTCAACTCTTGTGTAAACAGGACACAAATAAAGCAACTAGATACAATGTTGTGCAATGGGAGGGGCCAGAGGACAGGAAAGAGGGGAGGAGCTAGAGAACAGGAAGGGGCGAGAAGGAGGAGGAGCTGGAGGAGAGGAGAGCAGAGCGGGAGGAGAGACCTAAGATTTCACAAAAAGCAAGTAAAATGTGGGAAATCTAAATGTTAGGAAACTGAGGGCTTGGAGGTTGAGGAGGGAGTAAATATTGCCCAGCATTGTGTTCTAGGTTAACTAAAAACCCAGTCTCTGTGTGGTGATTTGGTTTTACAGCTGCTGAGGATTAACAGCAGCGTTACAAGAAGATAAAACAATAGCAAATATCAATAACTAAATACAATAGCAAATATTAATAACAACTAAATACAACACACCTCCTAACTTCATACAGAATGTGTCTCAGTGAGGCCTGCTGTTTACTGTTTCGTATCATAGGTGATGTCATCTAGTCCTCCCAGTGGCCCTGCAGTCCTAAAGGGCAAGGACCGCAATCTGCCCCTCATTTCAAGAGGAGCCAGAGCTCTAAGCTGGCTGCTGGTGGGAGATGCACTGGGGTTGAGTGTGAACATGTTAGGCAGTAAGCGTGGGGGAAAGCAGGTGAGGTGGGGCAGCAGCTAGGGAATCCCCCGGGTCTGCCTCTGCTCTGACGCCGGGTGACTGAGGAGTGGAGTGTGGCTTCCGCATTGGCTCAACATAGCTCTCTGGGCTGACTCTGTGCCAGGCTCTGAGAACATTCATAGTTCTTCAGGTGAGCTGTCCCCTCCTAATGTGACCCATGATGATGATGATCATTAAGTTTGTCTTCTTCCCCTGTGAGGCTGTGCACACGTCTGGGAACCTCAGGGTTGCAAGATCCATGCTGGAGCAGTTACGGGGTACAGATGATCAAAACTCATGATGTCCTGCAGCCTGCAGCCTCAGGCAAGCCCGGAGCCCCTGTGTCTGCTTCAGCTTAATGGAGATGACGGAGTCACTAACTCACTGGATACACCAGAGCCATGCCTAGTTCAGGGCTGAAGTGTAGACCTGTCTGCTCATAGTCTGAGCCATTCTTGGGCGAAGGAGAGTATCCTTATTTGATAAGGAAGCATCGCAAGGAGGTAGCAGATGCCTCATCTAAATGCTCGTGGTGGTGGTGCATGCTTGTGATCCCAGCATTCCAAAGGCTGAGGCAGGGGGACCAGAAGTTCAGGGTAGTTCTCAGCTCAGTAGTGAGTTTGAGGCCAGCCTGAGCTACCCTGTCGTGAATAAACAAAAACAAGTAAAATAATGCTGTGCTGAAATACTGGCCCAGTAGCCTCCAGCCATTAAAGGGCCCAGAATTCTGGACTCCAAAGTTTCAGCCATATTCAAGGGCTGGGGATGTAGCTGGATTGGTACAGTGCTCATGTGGCATGCACAAGGCCCTCGGTTCGGTCTCCAGCCCTGGATCAGCCAGGTGTGGTGACGCATGTTGTAACACCAGCACTCAGACAACTGAGGCGGGAAGGTCAGGAATTGAGGGTCATCACTAGTTACATAGTAAGCCTGAAGCCAGCCTGGGTACTTGAGACCTTGCTTCAAACAAGCAAACCCACAGCAACAAAGTAACAGCAGCAAATAGCTCACTAAGAATTATAACAGAACACACCTTCGAGTGTTTTCTAATTAGTTAAACTTTGCAGGAGCTAAAGAAAACATCTGTGTTCCAGACTGGCCCCTGTGAACTCCATACTGCCAGTCTCTGTTGGCTGACCTCCCTGGATCTCTGAGTAGGAAAAGAGCCAGAGAGAGGCTGGACCTCACCTCAGGTTATAAAATAGGATTAGCATCTTTTCACAGCAGGAAATCCTCAAATGATGGCGGTTACTAAGAGACAATTTTCTCTTTCTCTGTTGTATGAAATCCAGAGGCAGGCTATAAGGCCGTGACTGTGAAGACAGCTCAGCCCAGAAGACCAAGCGAGAGGATGTTACCCAGTGTGTGTGTGTGTGTGTGTGGGGAGCCCTTTCTGTCTCATCAAATGGTCTGGTGCATTGAGGAGGGTAAGGAGAGGAAGAAAGTATGGCAGCAGGAAGCCAGACACTGGTGTTCATGTGCCTTCTCTGGGTATATGTCCTTGAGTCTAAGAAGAAAAATAAGACTAAGAAGAAAAAATAAGAGATCAAGCCAGGAAGAGGGCATTGATGTGAACAACATGAGGGAGTCTCCTGTTCCGGTTGGAAAGGTTCCCATCCTGTCTGTGTCCATTATGAAAAGAGCCCTGGTTGACTAGTTGTTCCTCAGAGCATAGCCAGCCAGCCCTTCCCCTGGTAGTCTGCCTTTCATCTATGGGTCTTCAGAAGAGCCTGGTTCCTTCAGCCCCTCAGCCTTTGGGGATCTCAGGAAGTCTGAGTCTCAGTGGCTCCCCGAAATATCCAGGTCTCTGGCCCTGGGTTCTTTGTCCATTTCTATTCATTATTGGCCCTATAGTATACACAGTATAGTTGATTCCTCTTGGCTGCTGTTATCACCTCACAGGGTGTCATTGTCCTAGTCAGTGGATATGTGTATGTGTGCATGTGTGTGTACATGTATGTGTGTTTGTGTATGTATGTGCTTGCTTGTGCACTCGAGTTCCTTGTTATTCACTCAGAATCCTAGAGAATGGTGACAACATTAGATGAGCGATTGCAGTCAGCCACAGTTAGCTAGTAACCTCTGGCTTATGCTCTTGTCTGGGGAAGCCTCAGGGCTCCAGAACATTCTGTAGTATTCCTAGCCTGGCTGCATCTTCCTCATTCAGCTCTGGAAGCCCTTTGCACTCTCACACACAGGATTTTTTCTCTCTCTGTTCCAAGGCAGAGCTGCATCCCAGCTCTGGCTTGTATCCCTGCTAAGGGGCAGAATCTAACTATTCTTCCTTGAACCTGGACAGGATTGGGCAGGCCCCCAAGCCACTGGATATGAGACTCTGGCCTAGCTCACTCCTTAGATAATCAGATTGGTCTCTGGTGAATTACAATTCAAAGATGGGGTTGAGAATGTTATTTCTAAATTGGAATGCTACAGTTGATTTCTTTTTAGAGGTATGTTCCCACTGCAGTAAGGATCCAGTACCCATGCCCCTAGGGGGACCTGAAGGCCTTCACCTATCTGAGAGAAGCTGTGAACAGCCAAGGGTTATGGACAGACTTGTGGCCACAGCACATGGGAGCCTGAGGCAGGGCAATCATGAGTCTGAGACAAACCTGAGCTACCTAGTGAGATTCTGTCTCAAAACACTAAAACTTGCAGACTGTGGTGTGGATAGCATGTGTCTTTAGGTGTCAGAAACCTTTAGTGGCCTTCTGTGATTCTTACAGGGAAGAGGCCAATAACTAAGTGGACAGCCTTCCCAGACGGAGTTTCCCCGAGGTGCAGGGTTTTCAGTTCTAAAACCAAAACGGCGGCATGGAAAACCAGAAATGCTGATGCCCACCAAAATGCTCTGTAGGCGCCATCTTGGAGGTGTCCACATGGCTTAAGCTTACTCTCTGGAGGTCAGGGAGATGGCTTAGTTGATAAATCATGAAGATCTGAGTTCAGTTCCCAGAATTCACATGAAATTGTGCCTGCAATCCTAGCCCTGGGGAGGCAGAGCAGGAGGGTTCTTGGAACTTGTTTGCCAACTAGTCTAGCCAAATTGATGAGCATCAGGTTCCGTGAGAGACTCTACCTCAAAAACTAAGGTGGAGAGTGATTGAAGAAGACATCCAACATCCACCTCTGTCTCCAACATGCACATACATACTTCCTTCCACACACACACACACACACACACACACACATGCACACACACAGTGCTTACTGTCTGCTGTCACATACGTCTCCCAACTCCATATTTTTATGACAGATGCTGAAGGGATCCACAGTAGACTCTGGACTCAGCATGCCCAGTCCAGTGCTCAGCTCCAGCCATTTCCAGCTGTGTCTCTTCAGGCACATAATTTCAATTCACTTCTGTCCTACTTTCCCCATCTATAAAATAAGAATATAATCCAGGTTTTACCTCAGCCTGTGATTGTAAGGATTAAGTGACTCAGTGGATGAAAGTCTGTTGGAATGCTGCCTGTCCTCCAGCTAGGGAGGCCACACCCTTCACCTTTGGAGACGTGAAGAAAAAGTGCATTTCCCAGCAGGCCTGGTAGATAGAAGTCCTGAGATAGTGCCACAGTCTCCTGGATTCCAAAGTCTGATTCTATAATTAATCGGGACCTTGAGCCATTTCAACCTAGTTCCCTGTAGGAGTACCGATGCCATTAGACTATAAATGATTAGAAAAATGTCTTGTTATCACTACTTGGAATTTGTAAGTGAGCATTGACTAATCTGTCCTCTATGATCCAAGCAATCAACAAACGACCAGGGTCAGCCTTCCCTGTGCTCTTTCTTTTTCTTCTGTAAGAATAGAGTTCTTGGTGCCTCTTGGAGCATGTCGTGTGAGAAACAAGCAAGTGTGTTTTCTCAAGCTGGCCACCCCATTGTTGGTACAAATGAAAGGGTTAGACTAACTTTGTAACCTGTATGTCTTCTAAAGCCTATAGTTTTGAGTTTTAGGTTCAGGTTAAGTTAAAGCCTCTTAGTACCTTTCCAGAGAATGGAGAAATGTGACCCTATCTATGAGGACAGATAGAAAAAAGGCAAGCAAGCAATGACCTTCACTCAGCAAAAAGAAGGACCAGACCCTTGTCCTTGAGATAGTGTTTCTTAGCAACGAACCCAGACTTCTTCTGAGTAGTTTTTGACCTCCAGCCAAGCCCCTAATCTTCAAGGATGAGCTAACCACCCCACCTTCAATTGCAGCTGCATCCACACTTGGCGGGACTCGCCAAGCTTGAGCACCTAAGACTAACCAATTATCTTACTTTATAGCTTTCTCATCCAATCCTAAATTGCCAAGACTGCAACTTCAAATCTCCCGCAATTTTTCTTTTAAAAACCTAAAGGCCTTTGTCTCCCTGTGCCACTCTTTGCTGACCGGCAGGGGTGACCCCATTGCGCAATGGTTAATAAACCTCTTGCTTTTGCAAACCGAGTCTTGGTCTGGGGGAGTTTCTGGGAAGGGCACAATCTTGAACTCCTGAGCTGTGAGACCCCAGGTCTTACACAAAGACCTCTGCTGACCCTCTCTCACTCTTCTCTCTGACAGAGGTTAGCTATGTACAGCAGCATGGCTTGAAACCGAAGCTCTTTCTGCCTCAGTTTTCCAAGTGTAGGGACATCCCAGAAGGTAGCTCTATC